TCTGCCCCAGCGTGTCCTGCATGGACCCCATCTGTGTCTCCAGCTTCGCCACGCGGTTCTGATCTTGGGCCGTGCCTGTGTGTGACCATGCTGGCCTCACTGGCATCTGCTGCTGCCCTGACGAGCCTCCTCCATAGCCGTCGTCGTCCGCGTCCTCGATCTCCTCGTCGCTGTCGTCCGGCACCGCCGCGTCACTGGCGAACTTGTGCGCGACTGGCTCCGCAGCGGCGTGGGCTCCTCCCTGGCGGGTAGGCGCACCAGTGCTCCAGCTGCGCCATCTGCGCCATGAACTCCTGCGCGTGCTGGTACTCCTTCTGGGCCTTGACCGCCTCCGCCTTGCACGCCTCCGCCGCCAGCTCCGCGGCAAACTGGGCGTCCTTGGCGGCCGACAGCGCTTTCTTGGCCTTGTTGACGAACTGCTCCTGCTTCTCCATGCGCGTGGTCGGGTCCTTAGCGAGGATGACCTGGCAGTGGAGCGCAGCATACTCGTTCTCCGCCTGCTTGAGGCGCTGCGGGGAGACCTGCTCCGGGGGCATGCTGCGGATCGCCCTCACCGCCTCCGCCGCCGCCACCATCGCCTTGCGCAAGGACTCCCTGTGGCGCTTGAGTCCTGCGGCGATCGGCGGGGCGGAGAGCCAGCTGGGGTGGTGCTGCGCCTGGTTCGGCAGCATGGGCAGGATGCCGATGTTGCCCGAGGACGCTGGCACTCTTGCATCTGCTTCCCCTTGGTCTTCTGCTGCAGCTCCACGCCCGTGTCCTCCTCTGTCTGCCGATGCAGAGCGCTTCCTCCAGGGGGGCTTGGCCTTTTCCTTCTGGCCACCTCCTCCTCCTCCTTTGGGCGCTCCGCAGCCTCTGCATGTCGTTCTCGACGCGAAGTTGTCCTGGCTGCACTTCACGAAGGAGCAGCGCCAGGTTGGTGTATGGCCTGTAGAACGTGACGATGCACGATCTCCCAGCGCCATCCTGCCGCTGCTGTGGTGCCTGTCCAGTAGGCCTGCCGCCGCACCAAGCCGCAGGAGCACTCGTGCGTTGGCACGCTCCTTGCGGCGGCGGCGGTGCCAGGCCGGATCCAGATCGGGGCCGCGCGGCGTGGCGGCGCCCGTGGTCGCGCGACCGCGGAGGTGTCGCAGGCCACTGTGGCCTGCACCCAAACACCTCGAGCAGGTCGCGGCAACTGAGGGAGGAGGGAGGAGGGAGGAGAGAGGAGGGAGGATGGAGGAGGGAGGGGAAGGGGGGAGGTGGGAGGGGCAAGCTAGATACGCTCGCGTCATATCTGACGTCCCCACTCCCTCCCATCTCTTACCATGGCGTAAACCTCCTCTCTTGTCGCGCAGTCGGATTTCGTAGCAGGGCACAGCATTACATGTCATAAGATGCTATTGAAGGCCAGCGCGTAGCCTGACGCCCCAACGTGGTGGTGGGGTGAGAAATGCAACGAACCGGCACCGAATGCGGAATCACTTCCGATGGTTGCTTCGGGGGGCATGTTCTAGTTTTGGGGCTCTACTTGGAAGGGCCGAAAACCATGCCGTGGCATGGCGCTGGAAATAATGACGCCAGCGCTGCAGCGGGAGCACGATTCGGAACGTGCGGAATCGCGGGAATAAGGCCAGCGTTGCAGCGGGAGCGCGATTCGGAATGAGTGGAAACGCGGGAATGAAGCCAGCGCTGCAGCGGGAGCACGATTCGGAACGAGCGGAAGCCCGAACATGCGGCCAGCGCTTCAGCGAGAGCAGCAGTTCGAAACATAACACAAGCGAAACCACACCTCGCCGACATCAAGTGTGGAAAAAAATACGCGGGGGGGGACACTCCGAGACAGATTCCGCCACAGGCTCAGGGGAGAGAGAAGAGTAGTATTCATAGTGAGTAATTGTGGAGGGGGGAGGGAGGAGGCAGGAGGGAGGAGGGAGGGGGCAGGAGGCAGGAGGGAGGAGGGATGATGGACGAGGGAGCAGGGAGGAGCGAGGAGAGGGAGAAGGAAGGAAGGAGGAGGGAAAAGGGGGGACGTATGAGGGAGGAGGAAGGAGGGAGGAGGGAGGATGCAGGAGGAGGAGGACGGAAGGAGGAGGAGAGGAGGAGGAGGGGAGGGATGAGGGATGAGGAGGGAGGAGAAGAGGGAGGAGGGAGGAGGGAGGTGGGAAGAGGGAGGGGGGAGTGGGATGGGGATGAGGGGGGAGGGAGGAGGGAGAAGGGAGGGAGGGAGGAGGAGGATGAGGGAGGAGGGAAGAGGGAGGAGGAGGGAGGAGGGAGGAAGGAGGAGGGAGGGAGGAGGGAGGGGAGGGAGACGGGAGGGAGGCGGGAGGAGGGAGGAGGAAGGAGGGATGAGGGATGAGGGAGGAGGGAGAAGGGAGGGAGGGAGGAGGGGGATGGAGGAGGGAGGAGGGAGGAGGGAGGAGGAATGAGGGCGGAGGGAGGAGAGAGGAGGGAGGGTGGAGGGAGGAGGGAGGCGGGAGGAGGGAGGAGGAGGAGGAGGAGGAGGGAGGAGGGAAGACTGCTCACTGGACTGCTCATGAGGTGAAAGACCCCTCAGGGCCGGGAGCGCCACCACCCCGAAGGGCCAATGGGCCAACGCAGTCGGGGTCGGCGGGCCAGCGCCCCGGAGGGGGAACGCCTGCTTGCGGGACAGTGCCCCCGGGCCCCTGGCCGCCTCTCCCTGGCTGGCGCCCCGGGGGAGGGCGCCTAGAAGGCCGGGCGGCGCGGCCGCGCTGCGCTTCCCCCAGGGCCCTGCCCTAACGCTGGGCAAGTCCCGCAGCCCCCCACCCTCGAGCGGCCTGTTCCCGAAGGCGGGGCTGGCCGCCAGAGCGGCCGGGCGGGCTGGGCGGGCTCGGCCTGCGTGGGAACCCGTTGGTGACCCGCAGGTTCAGCGCGGCTCCCGAGGAGGCAGGGAGGGAGGGAGGGAGGGAGGGGAAGAGGAGGAGGGAGGAGGAGGAGGAGGATGAGGAGGAGCACGAGGTGGCGGAGGACGAGGATGAGGAGGAGGGAGGGGGGAGGAGGGAGGAGGGAGGAGCGAAGAGGGAGGAGGTAGGAGGGAAGAGGGAGGAGGAGGGAGGGGTGAGGATGAGGATGAGGATCAGGATGAGGATGAGGATGAGGATGACGATGCGGATGAGCATGAGGATGAGGATGAGAATGATGAGGATGATGATGACGATGCTGCTGCCGATGATGATGCTGATGATGCTGATGATGAGGACGTTGATGCTTAGGATGGTAATGATGCTGATGATGATGCTGACGATGATGTTGATGCTGATGATGATGACGATGCTGATGATGATGCTGATGATAATGCTGATGATGCTGTTGCTGATGATGATGATGCTGATGATGGTGATGCTGCTATTGCTGATGATTGTGATGATACTGGTGATGATGAGGATGCGGATGACGAGGATGATGATGATGATGATGATGATCATGATGATGATGATGATGATGATGATGATGATGATGATGATGATGATGATGCTGATGATGATGATGATGATGATGATGATGACGGTGCTGATGATGATTATGATGACGATGATGTTGACAATGACGATGATGATGATGACGACGAGGATGATGCTGATGATGATGATGCTGCTGCTGATGATGATGATGTTGGTGCTGGTGTTGCTGCTGCTGCTGATGATGATGATGATGGTGACGATTATGGTGATGCTGATTAGGATGATGATGATGCTGCGGATGCTGATAAAGGTGATGCTGATGATGATGCTTATGCTGATGATGATGCTGATGATGATGATGATGCTGACGATACTGATGATGCTGCTGATGATGCTGATGACGATGTTGTTGCTGATGATGATGACGATGCTGATGATGAGGATGATGATGATGATGATGATGATGATGTTGATGAGGATGATGATGATGCCGATGCTTCTGCTGATGATGCAGCTGGTGATGCTGATGATGACGACGACGATGATGACGATGCTGCTGTTGATGATGATGATGATGATGATGATGATGATGACGGCGATGCTGCTGATGACGATGACGATGAAGATGATGATGACGATGCTGATGATAATGATTATGATGATGAGGATGAGGATAAGGATGAGGATGCTGATGATGATGGCAATGCTGATGATGCTGTTGGTGATGATCATGTTGATGATGCTGATGATGCTGATGATGATGCTGATGCTGATGAAGATGATGATGCTGCTGATGATGATGATGATGATGCTGTTGCTGATGATGATGACGATGATGATGATGCTGATGCTGATGATGATGATGATGGTGATGGTGATGATGACGGTGATGATGATGATGATGATGATGATGATGATGATGATGATGATGATGATGATGATGATGATGATGATGATGATGATGATGATATGATGATGATTGGTGGTGGTGGTGTGGTGGTGGTGGTGGTGTAATGATGATGATGATGATACGGAGGAGGAGAAGGAGGAGGAGGAGCAGCAGCAGGAATAAGAGGATAACGAGGAGGAGGAGGAGGAGGAGGAGGAGGAGGAGGAGGAGTAGGAGGAGAGGAGGAGGAGGAGGAGGAGGAGGAGGAGGAGGATACGAGGAGGAGGAGGAGGAGGAGGAGGGAGGAACGAGGAGGAGGCGGAGGAAACGAGGAGGGGAGGAGGAGGAGAGGAGGAAGGAGGAGGAGCAGGAGGAGGAGGAGGAGGAGGAGGAGGAGGAGGAGGAGGAGGAGGAGGAGGAGGAGGACGAAGGAGTGGAGGAATGGAGGAGGGAAGAGGGAAGAATGAAAAGCAGGAGGAGAGGAAGAGGAGGAGGAGGAGGAGGAGGAGGAGGAGGAGGAGTGGTGGAGGAGGAGAATGTGGGAGAAGGAGTGTGGTGAGGGAGGGTGGAGGAGGAGGAGAGGGAGGGTGGGTGGAGGGGGAGGAGAGGGAGGAGGTGGAGGAGGAGGAGGAGGAGGACGACGAGGAGGAGGAGGAGGAGGAGGAGGAGTGTGGTGAGGGAGGAGATTGAGAGTCACGCTTGCGTCTAGCCGGAAGGCGGACATCGAGAATCTCTGCGAGGACGTCGAGGCTGGTGCCTCGAGGCGGCCCTGCCGCCTACGTGGGGAGAGGAGGGCCCAGGCCCCCAGGCGTCGCGAAACAAGTCACGATGACGGAAGGTGACAGGTGTTCTTGCATCATCGTGAGTGTTTCGAGGAGGAGAAGAGGACGACGAGGAGGAGGTGGAGAGGAGGAAGAGGAGTAAGGAGTAGGAAGAGGGGGGAAGAGGCAGGAAGAGGAGGACGAGGAGGAAGAGGAGGAAGAGGGGGAAGGGGAGAGGAACTAACTATCGTGGAGGAGGAGGAGGAGGAAGAAGAGGAGGACAAGGAGAAGGAGGAAAAGGGATTCGTGGTTCGACATGTTCTGACATGCTCGTCGATTCCCGAAAGAGCTCCATCCTCGGGGTGCTTTCCAGCACCTGCGCCTCGCCGAGGGCGTTCTGTGGGTGCCCAGGTCGTCTCCGGCGGCCGCCGCAGGGCCCGACACATGGCCTGACAGCCAAACTTTGTTGTCTGCACCAAGACCTTCCTCCTCCTGCTCCTGCTCTTCCTCCTCTTCCTCCTCCTGCTCCTCCTCCTCCTCCTTTTCCTCCTCCTGCTCCTGCTCCACCTCCTCGTCGTCCTCCTCATCCTCCCTCCTCCTGCTCCACCTCCTTTTCCTCTTCCCGCTCCTCCCCCTCCTCCTCCTCCTCCTCCTCTTCCTCCTCCTGCTCCTGCTCCTCCTCGTCGTCCTCCTCCTCCTCCTCTTCATCCTCCTCCTGCTCCACCTCCTTTTCCTCCTCCCGCTCCTCCTCCTCCTGCTCCTGCTTCTGCTCCTGCTGCTTCCCCCCCCGCATAAGCCAGGGGCCCTGTGAGCACACTGGGATGGTCGGGGAACCCAGAGTGGTCGTTTACTGCCTGCGTCGGCGGGATAGAAATAGAGTCGGGGACTTGCCGGAGAAGGCGGAGGGCGGCGGGGGGGTTCTGGGGACGGCGCCCCCGCCGGCCGTGGGGACCCTCCCCCTTGGGAGGGTGGGGCGTGGGGTGGGAAGGGTCGGAATGCCCCCCGCTGTCAGGGTTCCCCCCCTGTCTCGGGGTCCCTTGCCCTTTCTTACCTGGTGTTCCTCCCCCCCCTGGGGCACCTCTGTCTCCCGCGGGGGCGCGCGCGCGGAGGCGGCCGGTCCCTCTGACACGCGGCGCGTCGTCTGGTCAGCATACCAGGTATGCCAGCGCTGCCGAGCCAGTATTGAGTCTTGGCACTTTGGCAGAAAAGCCGAGCCAGTATTGAGCCTCGTCTGAGCTCCCAGGCGGCTTAGTGGGACGCCTGTGACAACTTCAGGATGCGTGCTGGTCCTGCTCCGGCTCCTGCTGCTCCTCCTCCTCCTCCTCCTCCTCCGTAGCCATTTGGGCTCAAGACGGCCTTCAGGTTTTGCGCTGCGTGGCTCGCGCTTCTCTGCCCAGCCATCACACGCGGTTGGTATTTATTTCGTTTCGAAACTGCAGTTCAGTTTGCTTGCAGAATGGATGAAGCAAATGGGATTCTTTCGTTTGTCGCTGGACGGGCCTTGCGGCTGCTGGCCAATTATTCGGGCAAGCGCTTCAATGGGCTCCAAATGGCTGCGCATGCCAATCGCCGGGTCCTATCATCGGGAATGCGCCGGCGGCTTCAACAATTTGGCATTGCATATCAAGTGGTACGTCATCATACGGAGCAGTGGGAAGATGGTTTTTTCGAGGCCCTTGAGCAGGAGTTGGTAGGAGCATTTCCCGGGCGGCGCAGCTCGAAGCCTGTATGCGCACCGAGGTTCTCTCGCAACGTGACGCAGCGGAGTGGCCTTGTCAGGACGGCGCTCAACAGAGATGCTGCTCCTTTCGCCATGCCGCAGGTGGAACCGTTGGCGGCTGTGCCTGTCATCATCGAGCAGGCAAAGTTCCAGTATGACTCGCAGCTGATAGTATATCAGGGGTTGGTGGAGTCGCAAAACTCGTTTATTGCAGCCCTCCAAGACATCAGTGATTCTTATTCCCATGCGCATAAGGCCTCTGAGACGGATTCTGGCGAGCCTTCGGAGGACATTGCGAGCGAGAGGTCCTCTGGATCGGCGGCCGCCTCATGTTGCCCCTCGCCCAGGGCAGTGGTAGACTCAGGGCACCCCGAGATTGTAGCCATTACGGCCAAGCTCGATGCTGTCCCCAACCTCATTGACAGAAGGATCCACAGTGCTTTGTCGGAGATTGTCCCCTCGGTGACCAAGTCGCTCGGCGGCTCGATGGGCGATGTTGTTTCTAATATTTTGGGGGCCACTCTGCCTGGGGCCATTGAGGCCGCAATCGCGCCCAGGATGGATCAGATGTTAGATTCAGTAGCTTCGCGTTTTTCCGAGTACTCGGCCCGTGCTGCGTCATCTGCTGGTACGCCTCAACGGGGCGGCGATGGGGCAGAGCTGGAGGGCGTCGAGCAGATGGTGAAGGATGTGGTGGCATCGCAGCTTGAAGTGCTCAAAACGCAGTTCCTTGAGCTCACCGCGCGCGTGGAGGCCTTGGGCGCTACCCGTGAGCTGGAGAAGCGGCCCCCTGCTACTGGCCTTGCTTGCTCGGCGGATCGGGCCCGGTCTCCCGTGCTTCCGATGTGCCAGTACGGTCGACAGTGCAAGAGGAGCGATTGCATCTTTCGCCATCCTGAGGGACAGGCCACTGCCGCAAGCGCACGGGTTCATGGCGGTAGGCCTGCGACGTCGCATGGCCGCCCTCAACTGATCACGCCAAACGCGCGCCCCATAGATTACGGCAGGTTCGATGACATTGTCGACGCCGCCGAGGCGGAGGAGGTTCATGACTTCATTATGGCTGGGCTTTTCGGCGATCCGATGGAGACGGAATTGCCGCCAGAGCCCGACGATGATTGATGTGGTCGCGACGTCCTGTTTGTCTCGCTCTGCCAGTCATACTACGCACGTCGCGTTCCTCTTCCGCGACGGCTTCATAGATCCAGCTTGTTGATCAAATTCCTTCTCAGCACTCTCTTCCCCTTCTTGTACTCCTTCTTCGTTGAGGTTATTATTTAAGGGGCTGTCGCCCTCGCTCATTCGCCACCTGGTGGCGGGCGGAAGATCTCCTGTGTAATCGTACTCGCCTTTCGGCTACGCTCCACCTCCTCCTCCTCCTCCACCTCCTCCTCCTCCTCGTCCTCTTCCTCCTCCTCCTGCTCCTCCTCCTCCTGCTCCTCCTCCTTCTCCTCCTCCTCCTGCTCCTGCTCCTCCCCCTCCGCCTCCTCCTCTTCCTCCTCCTCTTCCCGCTCCTCCCCCTCCTCCCCCGTAGCCATTTTGGCTCAAGCACGAAACCGTCGCCCTGCGGCTTCGTGCTTGCCTGCAGCCGAGGGGCTGGCTCGAGGCGAGCCGGCCACAGCAGGCCACTGTTTCTCGCTCCGCCACGGCAAGCTCCCGCTGCCGTGGCCGTCCGTTCTCGTGCATTCGTGCTGTTACGTGCGCGCGCCATGTCCTGGGGTTTCAAGAAACCCCTTGCGTATGTGTGCTGCCCCAACCCCGCCTGCCCAGGTTGGACCTGGGCCAGCCGCCGCAAACCCTACTGCGGGCTTTGCGGCACCCCGCAGCCCCAGCCGCCAGGATCCTCGCCATCGCCAGGGACCAGCGGCAAGGGGAAGGCAAGGGCAAGGGGCAAGGGCATGAAGGGGGAGGAGGAGCATCTGGAGGAGGTGAAGCTGGAGGTGGTGTGAAGCAGCCCCCGTGGCATAAAGACACGATCCCCTTGTCGCCTCCCCCGACCACCGACCAGTCCTCCCACGAACTTCTGATGGCGCAGCATCTTGTCAAGTTCTACAACGGCTGGGGAGTGGAGCACACCGATCCCAGGCTGGTCTCGGCCCATGAAGCTGTCAAAGCTGCGAAGGAGAAGGTGTTCCAGAATCGGTCCCCTGTCCAGAAGGCTCAGAGTCTCGCGGCTCAGATCCAGCATCAGAAGTCCCTCGTCACCTCTGCCGCGGAATCTCTTGCCGAGCTTGAATCCCAGGCAGCGTGCATGGTCAGGAAGTATGAGGAGGCGACGGCGCAGATTCGGGAATCGAAAGCCCAGTTGGAGTGTCTCAACGCCCAGCTTGCTTGCCTGCGTCCTGAGTCCGCCTCGTGCGAGCCTCCTGAGTCTGAACCTGAAAGTGTGGTCCACTGGGTCCAGGGTCTGAAGGGAGCTTTGACCAAAGAGTTTGCCTGTCTTTCTCCTGAGGGAAGCAAGCAGCTGGAGGATGGGTTCCCGGCTTTGGAAGGCATGTTGACTAAGATGAAGGACCAGTTGGATCTTGACGCTCAAACCAGTAAGGTGTTGGAGGGAGCCATTCAGAAACCTTTGAAAGGCCTGGAGAACAATATCACACAGAAGAACATGCATAATTCCTTGGAGGAGAAGCAGCTATCAACAATTGATGAGGAGGAGGAGCCGTACGAGATATCTGATGAAGATATGGAACCTCGAGGTGAGAAGCGCCTTGGTGAGGACCTCAGCAGCCTCCAGGAGCAAATGGAAGCCCTTCGTCAAGAGTGCCCAGATATTCATGACCAGGTGTGGACCCCTGTGAAGAATAAGTCTGGGAAGTCTGCCGAGAAAGGGAAGGGCGCCCAGCAAAGCTCAGGAGGGCATAATCCCAGGCCGAAGCCTCCAGGAACTGCATCATCGTCTTCTGCAGGACCCCAGGGCAGAAGAAAGGTGGGGAAGGGGGGGGGGCCCAGCCACTGCCGCCGCCCCGCCAGCCGGCCGCAGCAGCATCCAGAGGGGGGGGGCGGCAGGGCCAGAGGACGGCGAGTTGTGACAAACTAAGGGCCAAGGGTGGGCCTTGCAAATAACAGCCCTGAACACGAATTCGCTTGCTACCTTTAAGGCGAACTATGACCATGAGTCTGGTTGTTCTCAATTCCCTGAGGCTTCGATTCTTCTCCTGCAGGGGACCCTGTTCAATGGCGAGGAAGCCATGCAGTCTGCCAAGGAATGGTGTTCCGCTCGTGGTTGGCTTGGGTATCTCTCTATGGCTGCAGTTCTAGAATCGGGAGTGGCTTCTGGAGGTGGCTGTCCTATTAAGGGCTGGGCAGAATCTTGGAGCTAGCCCTGTACCTGTAAGGTTTTCTATGCCGCACCGCATATGCGCCCTGAAGATTGACATCCCTGGGGCCCCCAAGTTTCGCCTCGTCTCTTTGCGCGTGCAGACGAGTGTTCGGGTTTAGCGCTACAAATCTTGAACTCTTGGAAGATATTGCAACTCTTCAGGAGAAGGTTCAGCTCCCTGTCATGATTGCAGGAGATTGGAACATGAAGGCTAGGAGGCTCGAGACTTCGGAGTTCCTGATTCGAGCTGGCATGGGGGCGGTTGCCCCGTCGAAGCACACATGTATTAAGAAGAAGTCTCAGACCACTATTGATTTCTTTGTGCTTTCTCATGTGCTTGCTTGCAATGTCACGTCGATATCGGTGCTCTCTTCGCACCCTGTCTCGCCTCGCTGCCCAGTGACGTTGCACGTCTGGTCTGATGTCAACCATGCCATCCCTGTCTTGTGTAAGTGCCAGAAGACCCCGCATGTCAAGCCCTTCGGTCCGTCCCTGGAGAATCTTCCTTGGGTCGAGTTGGAGAGTCAAGTCTCCAGATTGGAAGAGTTGTGTGGGGATTATGTGGGCAGTGGCTTACCCAGCATGTCCAGTTTTGAAGCTCGGCAGGCTGATCTTGATGTCGCGTACGCAAGTGCTGCCATGGAGTTGGAGCTTACCATCTGTAGGATGGCGGACCCCCCCTCAAGACTGTCTCGCAGAGGGCCCGCAGTGCCAGGATCGTGCACGTTCCTCTCGTTCAGCACTGCAAGAATCTGAAGTTGGCTTGGAAATCCTACCTTGTTCCTTTGAGGTGGATGGTTAAATGGGCCCAGAATGTATGTTGTTCTTTGGGGAGCGAGGCTGGTCTTAGAATGCATCTCGAGAACCTGGAAGGCTGCCCTGCCGAGTACAGATCGGTCCCCTCGTTTATCTGCCATTTGGATAGGCCCAAGTTGCTGGCGTAAGGAATTCGGCAGGACCTTGATTGGCAGTCTTTGAACAGGTACGTTGCTGAAGGCTTACTTGGAGATTTCCTGAAGGATCTTGAAACTGTTTTGAAGGCTGAAAGCTCCAGGGACACCCTCGGCTCTATCAAGTCCTGGAAGGAATGGGTTCGACGTCAAGGCAGCTCTGTCTCCTGGATGCACAAGTGGACCAAGTGGAAGGATGCGTGGAGGCCTGGGGAGGTGCTGCAGCGCTCGGGCCAGTGGTCTGGGCAGCCTACCAGCATCCTCAGGGCGGAGGCGGATAGGCTGGAGCGGCTCCGGAAAGGGGATGCCTACCCTGCTGCTCCGTGGCAAGTAAATCATGATGATAGGAAGCCTGTCCCCCTGTCCACCCCAGATGAGCTGAGGAAAGTGTGTGCTGCATTTAGCTCTAAGACGTCCCAAACGTTTGACGGTTTCCATCCCCGTCACTATCTGATGTGCCCTGACCAGCAGCTGGGAATCATCGCCAGGCTTCTTAGATGTATCGAGCAGCGCGGGCAGTTGCCCTCTGTCTTGCAGGCGGTTGTCACATGTCTCGTACCCAAGCACAAGCCAGGCGCGGTCAAGTTTCGTGGTATCGGTCTGTGCGTGTCTCTGTATCGTGTGTATGGCAGGCTACGTCAGTGTGTTGCCCGCTCTTGGGAGCGATCTCATCGGCTTCGTTGCTTGTGTCACCAGAAGGGTGTTTCCATTCTTGAGCTCGTGCTCGTGCAAAACATCAAGGCTGAAGCGGCTAGCATGTCGGAGAAGAAGATTCAAACGTCGGCTGTGTTGTATGATATGAGTAGTTTCTATGACCATATCGACCTTAACCTTCCCTGGGCCAGGGCCGAAGACACGGGGTTTGACATGCAGGTCCTTGCCGTGATCTGCAACATGTACCGTGCGAAAAGGTTTTTCCCGATGGAAGGTTATGCGTTGGAATCCTCCTTCCCTATGCAAGGCATTTTGGCTGGGTGTCCGTTCGCTACTGTCCTGGTGCAGGTTTATTCCTATGGGCCAGTCTTAAAGCTCCAGCAGGTCTCGGGAACGTCTGATCTCTTCCTCTTCATCGACGACTGGGTGATTCTGAATCAAGATTCGGACCACAGGTCCCTTCTCACTAGAACTGTCGGGAGCTCGGCCCAGGTAATCCAGTTGATCCAGGATGGCTTGCAGTGCGCAGTTGCTTATGATAAGTCTGCTGCCGTTGCCTCTTCGGACAGTATCAGGCATGATCTGGCCAGGTCCATGGGGAAGTACATGGAGTCCAAAGAATTCTCTGCTGCAGATCTTGGTGTGGACACCGCGGGAGGCCAGCTCAGATGTCGAAGAGGTGCTACCCGTTTCTTGAAGGAAAGAATCAAGGAGCTGAACCGTCGCAAGCGAAGACTAGCAGCCATAAGGAAGGGAGGTGCCAACATGCAGAGGGCGTACCTCGCAGGTATCCAATCCTTCGGGTATTATGGGGCCGAGGTGGTGGGGTTGGACGCAAGGGAAGTTGCAGCAGCGCAGTCTTTCTTCTTGCAGACAGTCGGAAGCGCGTGTCCATCCAGGTCCCGCACGTTGTCGCTTCTCATTCTCCAGGACCCCACTTGCAGACTTGCCCTGGGGCCTGTCATCACCTGGACGAACTTGGTTTGGAAAGCAGCGACCCGCCCTGGATTCGAAACCCCGCTGCCACGGCTGAGGGAGCTTGCCTCGAACATCCTGGCAAGGCCGCCGAGAGCTTGGAACCGGGTTAAAGGACCCCTCGGAGCTGCTGTGGTCTCTCTGCTTAGAATTTCCTGGAGGTTTGTTCCCCCCTTTGTATTGGAGGACCACAAGGGTCAGGAAGTTGTCCTAACTAGCACGTCCCCCGCCAAAGTTCGTTGTGATCTCAGAGCTGCGTGGGTGCACGTGCTGGCTGCGAAGGCCGCTAGCAAGTTCGAACGCCCTGGGGAGATCCTGGACACGACTGTCTGTTGCCAACTACTCTCCCCTGGAAATATCTTGTCGTATGCAGAGAAGTGCATGTTGAAGGCGTTTGTTACACAGTGCTTGTGGTCCAAGTGGCGCCTTGCTAGATGTGGTTATGATGTGGAAGATATGTCATGTCCTCTGTGTGGTTTTTCTAGGGATGATCTTCACCTTCGCCTGTTTGCCTGCTCTGCTACTCTCAGTGTTAGGGATGAGTATCTGAAGGGCGA